AAACTTTTCATATTTTTACGTTCCTTCCGAGTCTTCTCATTTATAAATACTTTTTTTTTTGCTGTCCATTCTATATTCTATTTATAAATAATAAGTGAAAATCATTTCAAGTTAAAGAAACTTAAACTCTGAACAAGCTTTGAATTTCGTCAAAGATGAAACTTCATTTCCTTTCTATTCATCTACAAAGGGGTGTACTGAAAAGCTATTAAATGTGTGGAAAGCCTGTTATATTAGAGGTCCTGCTCCACATGTCCAACAGCTTGACATTTTCAAGATAAATACACACACTGTATAATTATTTATGTACATTTTTTTCCTCAAAAAATAATAGCGTACTAATTCGTACTAAAAATAGCTATTAAAGTGAACAAAAAGCCAAGCACTATTATCGAGAATGTTTTCATAATGGCAATTTATATTGATCCACCCTATATATACATAAGTATATGACTATATCTCCGATATGACAAAAAGTAGCACTACCACAGACGAGACGTACAGTGACCGCAGCATAGAGGATGTGGATTCTTGAAAACTTTTAAGGTTAAATATCTCATAAACCATTAATCTCCTCTGGCCCAAACCATACATCGTTAGCTTCAATATTTCAAGCTCGTTCAGCTTGTAAAAACTTGTAAAAAATATCGGTGTAACATTTCGAGTTCTCTGTTTGCCAGATGTGAAATTGTGTGTGTTCACCGCGCTTTTTTGTCGTTTCTGGTAACGAAGAAGGCAATCGTATTACAAGCAAGGGAAATACAGCAAAAAATAAACAAGAAATAAACGCTTCTGCTTTCCATTAAATCTTTATAAAACTGCTGTCAGTGAATTGTTGAGATTCTCTTGCTACAAGTGTGACGAAGATTTAGTAATTAATAATAATACTACGACAATATATATATATAATTAAAAATAGTTTTAATAAGATCACATTTAGGCTTATTTTTTTCAGAAAAGTATTACCAATGTACTGGTAACATTTGTATTAGGCTACAATAAAAAGTATAAAAACGCAATTTTGTATTGGCGATGTTTCATCTCACGCGCGTGCTTTATTGCTATCGACACTCCGCCGACATTACCCAATCATGAAATGCGATACATCTGTATTTGTGGATGTAACAGAAGAATTATTTATTAGATCTGCTGACTTTACCGACTTTGATGACTGCACTGAGTATAGTTTTTACATTCACCGCTCTAAATTGTAAATGGCGTAGCAAAATCACTAATTTTTATCACGATGGGTACCAAGTCCCATAAAATGTTAAATCTATCCTATATCTCATGCGTGACGCTTCTTTAGAACTCGTAGTTGAAATTGATAACCTGTTTTGTCCTGTGTTACTGACCTATCTAACTCATGAAATCTGAGACTCTAAACCCTGAGCTTTCGCCGTATAGTTTGCATTTAATCAGAGATCAGTGAAGGTCAGTGCAATGTATTCGCCGAGGAAAAAAAAATGGATTATTTGTACCGACCCTTTCTACGCGGATTAAACGGTTTCTATGTAACTTTCTAACGGATAAAGATTACGTGAAGAAAAGAAAAGAAAATGAATGAAATTTAAAACGGAAATGAAGAATCCTTGGTTATAGAAAATGAAAATGATACGATTTAAAGATGTAAGGATTGAGAAGAAATAAACTGAGAAATACTAATAAAGAGAGAAAACATTCGGAAACTGAAATTTGAGAAAACCAGAAAAAAATAATTTACTATATATATATAAAAGTAATCAATTTCTCAGAGTATACTTTTAAAAGTTCGAGAGAAACATTTATTCAAAAGTTGAACAAACTACTAGAAATATAATTTCATGAAAACACTTGAACTCACATAGTTAGAAGAAAATGTGATATATACAAGTATATCTAACGTAAGGAATTTCTAGATGTTTTTAGGCAGTTGAACGAAACCTGATAGTTCTTACAAATATGGGGAGAGCTGTGCCATGTGCACATTCATATGGTGTTGAGTGTTCTTAAGGAAAGCAAAAAAAGAAAGAAGAGAGAAATAAAGCGTTGTTTATCCTCCGTTGATCTTAGGTCTTCTCGTATGAACTTGGTCGACTTTTTCTTCCCAATTCAAGCGCAGGACGTATCGATTTTCCGTACTTCCGTGGGTGTGATTCATTCCCCTAGTGGCCACAAGATTTTCGACCCCGTCGTATAGGGGCTGAAACGCATGAATCGACCTGCCTACACCCCTAACAAGGTAAATAAATGCACTTCATTGCATGCTGTTCATACACTGGGTGATTCAGAAGAAACACTTCTCAACTTTCAAAAAATTTGCCTCGTTAACATTGTCTTCTATCCTTTTGCAAAGTTCTTATTATCTAAATTAAATATTGTTTTTTTTTTCCTTTTTCTCCAAATGAGTTAATGTTGCTGGTTGTAAAATACGTTACGCTACTTCTGAATCACCCGATGCATTGTGGTGCCAATCGTCCAAAAGCTTCGAGAGTGGGGGGAAGGGGATAACCATAGAAGAGGATAGTATAGCACGCGTGGCTATTCCCTTTCAGAAGACGTTCATTCTCTACAGTTTTCCAACGCACCGTCGAAACGATATTTTTACGTTGAATTATTTCTACGTTAATATCCTTTTATGCTCTACATGGTTATCGACATTACATAATCGATCTGAATAATAATAACGTGCTGCATGCGCGACTTACATGAACATGATTTACATGAACGACCGAGTTAACGGTTCTAACAAGTTCCATCCTGCGTGGGTCACCGGTCATCACGGAGAACTTTTAACTTTTTTCTCACACATAGATATTTTTGTACCACCCAGAGGTGCGCAGATTAACACGGATCGTTGAAACTCGTGTAAAATTATAGGAATATAGTTGCGTTCCATGCAACTAGGACAAACTGCGTCTTTGAAGCGATTGAAGACAGGAAAAATATTATAAAGCAAAATTAAATGGTAGCAAACACTGCATATTGTTTTCTTACCTTCATATGCAATTGCACCGAAAATTAGCTCGATTATTTTGGTTTTATTGTTAATTACACAATTTCACACGATTGCTTAAGGAGTAAGGTCACCTTTACAATTGTCAAGAAATTGAAAATTTGTAAAATAATGCGTAAAAATTTCCACTGACAAAATTTGTCGTGCTAACAAAAATATGGCCCTAACCTTAAACTTGAAAGCTAATTTATATAGTACTTCTGTCATTTTCTTACACATTGCGAGAATAAAAAAGATATACGAGTATAGTTTTCAAATTTTTTAATGCAAAAAAGTAACTTTTATTCTGATTGTAAAAATAAAAGGATGCTATAACAATGTAAACACCAGGCAAGGCATCTTATATAGGGTGTTTCCTATAACTGAAGCATCACCAATACCTTCGTTCCTTTTGATGATGCAAAAATGGGCAAAGAAAACCCCCCACATTCTACCCCCCTCCCCCTCAGAAATAATCCATCAATTTCACCAAATGAAAATAACTTAACAATACCAACCAAATAAAAATAAATCTCCAAATCTAATTGCATGGGTATTCCTTACGAACACTAAGAAGTAAAACACTACATATACTGCAGGTGCAAGATAATTAAATTGTGCTAGAACCTCGTACACGATAGCTCTCTTATAAAAACGGAAAAAAGGGGAGAGTTCATGCATGTACAAAAACGCGCGTTTCGCGGGCTTTTCAAAATTAAAAAATCCATGTTGATGGTGGAAGTAAAAGGGGGAGAGGGGGGATATGTGAAACATTCGCACAATAAACGGTGTGCAGTAAACGGCCACGCCATTTACCTTTCGTCAAAGCCTCCCATTCTTGGCGTCCAGCAAGCTTGAACATTTTTCCGTGTTATCCTGTTCAACTGTCCACCACCAGTTCGATCTCTCTTTCTCTCTCTCTCTTTCTCGCTCTTTCTCTTGTCCGTCGGCGATTATCCCTCGCGATGCGCACAGATCACTTTTCGTCTTTTTCCCGTGACACCACGCAGCACACCCGCGGAAAATCGACTGTCACGACGCGATTTTTCACGAATATATGCAGCGAAAAGCCCAGCAACGTGTTTAACAGCCTACTGCCATTTTACGATACCACTCGACATCTGGAACATGCTGCTCACACCTGATTTTGCTCGTCCGGATCTTTGACATTCCTCCGCTTCGAATGGCAATCTCGGATCTAGATTTCATTGATATTAGTCGATAACTATGGATTGTTTCTTTTTTTTTTCACTAAGCAACATCAGGGACAAAAGGATAGAGGAGATGGGAGGTAAAAGGGGCGAATGC